CTTGAGAGGTCCCTTCCCACCCAACCCTGTGTCCGAGTCTGATCCATCCCAGCCACCACGAGCAGATTTCCTCAGCCAGGTTGGGTGGGAGCACCAAGAGTTTGGGACCTCCCTTCCTCTGGCTGCTGAGTGGTTGTGCTGTGGTTGGGTGCAGATGAGAACGAGTGCTCCAGCCCCACCGCCTGCGGCTCTGCCTCCTGCTACAACACCCTGGGGAGCTTCAAGTGCGTCTGTCCCTCCGGCTTCGACTTCGACCAAGCCTTTGGTGGGTGCCAGGACGTGGACGAGTGCTCGGCAGGAGGCAGCCCCTGCAGCTATGGTTGCTCCAACACGGATGGGGGGTACCTCTGCGGCTGCCCCGGGGGCTACTTCCGAGCAGGACAAGGGTAAGAGAGAGGCTGGTGGCCACCGTCGGCACCTCGGTGGTCCTCAGGGGGGTTCTCACAGCTTGCCAAGGGGGTGGTGGGCCCAGATGTGCTCCAGCACCAGGCTTTTGCTCTTTGCTGCCAATAAAAAAGGAGTCCCAGGAAGCCGTGAGGGCTCATTCCCACGAGTTCTCAGCTTCTCCATGCCGTGCTGTTCCTCAGCCATCATGAGGTCCTCATGGTGGTGTGGGTCTCCTCATGCTAGTGTGCATCTCCTCATGGTGGTGTGCATCTCCTCATGGTGGTGTGCATCTATCTCCTCATGGTGATGTGCATCTATCTCCTCATGGTGGTGTGCATCTATCTCCTCATGGTGGTGTGCATCTATCTCATCTCCTCATGGTGGTGTGCATCTATCTCCTCATGCTGGTGTGGGTCTCCTCATGCTGGTGTGCATCTATCTCCTCATGGTGGTGTGCATCTCCTCATGGTGGTGTGCATCTATCTCCTCATGGTGGTGTGCATCTATCTCCTCATGGTGGTGTGCATCTCCTCATGGTGGTGTGCATCTCCTCATGCTGGTGTGCATCTATCTCCTCATGGTGGTGTGCATCTCCTCATCGTGGTGTGCATCTATCTCCTCATGGTGGTGTGCATCTCCTCATGGTGATGTGCATGGAGATGTGCTTCTCCTCTTCCATTTCACTGCTCCAAGGGTCAGTGCAGATGCTCTGCAGGTCCACCTAGCCCAGGGTGCAGACACATCAAACCATCTGGCCCCATCTAAACAAGATGTGTCCTGATCCCTCTCGGGCATGGTCTGCATCAAGCCATCTCCTAACCCCAGCCATGATCCTCCATGTGCCACGTGGAGAACCCGTGAGGGCAATGGGAAGATCTCCTTCTTGAAGCATGAATCTCTCTCTTACTCTTCTCCCCCCAGGCATTGCATTTCTGGCTTGGGTTTTGGGAAGGGTCCCTACCTTCCTGCCCCTCAAGAGGAGGATGAAGACAACCTGCTGTCCCCTGAGACCTGCTATGAGTGCAAGATCAACGGGTACCCCAAGAGGGGCCGGCAGCGGCGCAGCCTCAACGGCACCGAGCAGCAGCAGGTGAGGAGTCCACGGCATCCACAGCAGCACGGGGGGCAGGTTGGGCACCCCAAGAGGGACACTGAGGGGCTGGAGGGGGGCTGGAGAAGGTCAACGAAGCTGGGGAGGGGTCTGGGGAACATGGTGAGGAGCAGCTGAGGGAACTGGGATGGTTTAGTTTGGAGAGGAGGAGGCTGAAGGGAGAAGTTCTTGTTGTCTACAGCTCCCTGGAAGGAGGTTGGATGGAGGTTGGTCTCCTCTCCCAAATTACTAATGATAGGATGAGAGGCTCAAGTTGCCCCAAGGGAGGTTTTGGTTGGATATGAGGAAGAATTTCTCTCCTGGCAGAGTGCTGAGACCTTGGCCCAGGCTGCCCAGGGAGGTGCTGGAGTCCCCATGCCTGGAGGGGTTCAAAACACGTGTGGATGTGGCACTTGGGGACGTGGTTTAGTGGTCATGGGAGTGTTGGGTGATGGTTGGATTATGATGATCTTGGAGGTCTTTTCCAGCCTCTTGCTATAAATACAGGTTATTTTCCTTGGAGGGAAGTTCTGGCCTCTCTCCAAGGCTTCACCAAGCAGCTCACAGCCCTGGGCAGGAGAAGTGGGGCAGGGAGGTTGTTGTGGGCCCTTCAGGCTCTGGGAGGAAAGTGCCTCTGGAGTTATTGGCTCTTCCCCTGAAGATGAGGGGTGAGGTACTGAGACACAAACAGGTACCAAGAAACCATGAGGGTGGTGGAACAGGGGAACAAGCTGCCCAGAGACCTGGTGGAGGCCCCATCCCTGGAGACATTCAAGGTCAGGCTTGGTGGGACTTTGAGCAACCCAACCTGCTGTAGTTGGGGCCGTCCCTGCTCACTGCTTATTGGACTCGCTGACCTTTAGAGGTCCTTCCAACTCAAAGCATTCTAGGATTCTAGGCCAGTGAGGACCACAGAAGTCACAGCCACTTCTCAGAGCTGCTTCAGGGTGGCCCGTGGGGACAGAACTCCTCTAATTCCCCTCCTCCTTCACCCAACCATGACCTGAACTCCTCCAACTCCCCTCCTCCTTCACCCAACCACGACCATGAACTCCTCTAACTCCTCTTCTCCTTCACCCAACCATGACCTGAACTCCTCCAACTCCCCTCCTCCTTCACCCCACCACGACCTTTCCCTCGGGCTCGTTGGGTAACACATCCTCCTTCCTTTCCAAGGCTCACCCCGTGAACTTGGCCAGCATGGACGTGGACTCTCCTCTCTCCATGACCCTCAACCTCTCCGACCTGGCTCACAAGGAGCACATCCTGGAGCTCCTGCCGGCCGTGGAGCCTCTGGAGAACCGGGTGAAGTACCTCATCTCCCACGGCAACCAGGACGGCTTCTTCCGAATCCACCAGAGGGAGGGGTTGAGCTACCTCCACCTGGCCAGGAAGAGCATCGTGCCGGGCACCTACCTGCTGGAGATCGTCAGCGTGCCCCTCTACCGCAAGAGGGAACTGCAGAAACTCCAAGCCAAGAACCACCTCGACTACTTGGCGGGGGAGCTGGGCCGAGCACTGAGGATGAAGCTCCAGCTCCAGCTCTACTAACGGCCCTGAGA